GGCAATGCACGCCAAACGACAGAATCATCAGACAGCTCGTCGGAAGACACTTCTGCTGCCTCGGTCTACGCAGCGAGCATTGCCTCCGCACCAGTCCCGAACACGGATCACTCACGCACCAAGTCGAGGGAGCTATCTGCACAGGAAATTGCCGCTGCCGCCGCCGCAGCAGCAGGAGCAAGCAACATGGCGACAAAGAAACAGACCATTAACCAATCCCTCAACTCTGCCACAGCAGCAGCCAGGAACTGGCTCGCAGCCAAGCAGAACGCAAAGCCCAACACTAGTACCACCAACAGACCACCAACATCCGAGGGCCCGAGCATAGATCACGACTCATCGTCATCGTCGTCTCTGGACCCCCGTCCACAACTCCACTCCAATCCCTCCATCTCGAAATCCCACTCGGAACCCATGGGCAGAGGCCAACCCCTCCCTCCCCCAGGCACACCTCTACCGCACCCCAAGAACGAAAAACGACAAACGTGGGCCATTCCCGCCGCAGCCTCGTCCACATTTGCGAATCTGACGAAACGCAAACCCGTCGTCCCTGGTCCCAGCTCCCCCGCCGTCTCCAGCAAACACTCAGTCGAAGATCTCATCGATAGCCCAAAAACAGCACTAGGCACAGCTTCCCTCTTGCCCGCCGCACACTTCCCAGATCAAGACGCAAGGACAGGAGGCGGCGGAGATGACGACGATGGGGAAGATGTGTTTCGGGAGATGCGGCGGAGGAAAAGCAGTGCTGGCAGTGCTGGTACTGCGCATACTGCGAGTGAGCTCGCGACGCCGCCGCCGCCGTTGCCCAAACGCAGACAGAGACAGCCGAGTTTGAATCTGAGTGCGCATACGAGGCGGGCGAGTCAGAATCAGAATCTGCCGCAGCTTGGTGGGGAGGGCGAGGGGTTGTTGGTTGTGGAGGCGCCGGTTGTGGAGGGGAGGACGGGGAGGGACGATGAGGGGAGTAGGGACAGGGGTGTTACGTGAGGAGGGTAGTGTTGAGGTAGTTCATGAATGTCATTCTCGGCACGGAGGCAAAGTCATGCAAGAAACCGCACTGGAAGCATGCTGATAACTCGTGTAATATCTCTTTTGGCCTATCTGTCTGACGACCTTTTCTTGGGGGTATAAATCTTCATCTCTGGATCTCATTGTCCTCATCCCATTTTCGCGTTCGAAAAGTCCATCTCGGGATGCTGCTTCTTGAACTGCTCCAGGATGTCCGCCTTCTTCTGCTCGTCGCTCGTCGGCTTCCCTAGCTCCTTCTGCTTCTGGTCAAACATCATCTTCTCCACCATGCCGCGTGTCTCCCCGTCGAGGTCGCCCAGCTTGCTGTTCTCGGGCTGGATCTTGGAGGTGTCGATCTTGGGCGCTGTGGTGACGACGTGGGCCCACCACTCCATCTGGTTCACTTTGTCGAGGTGGATGGAGATCTCTTTCTGGGACCCGACGGAGGTCAGTGTCCAGGTGGAGTCGTCAACGCGTATGGCATGAGGCAGCTCGCCCTGGACAAAGCGTTAGCACATGCTTCTGCTGGGCGGAACAAGCAAGGACGAACGTCGATGAAAGGCTCCTGGCCCTTGATGCCGGCCTTGAGCGCGTTGCGGGTAATCTTGACATCCAGGTCCTTGCCCTTGTACTTGCCATCAATGGTGATGGCGATGTCGAGGTCCTTGATGGTCTGGTCCCACTTGTAGGGCAGGGCGGCCTGCTCGGCCTGCTCCTTTGCGCGGGCGTCGGCGTCGGCCTTCTCGCGCTCTTCGGGTGGGGGTGAGGCAGACATGGCGGCGTGTTTGGCGGCGTGGTGGGAAAAGTTTCAGTGTTTGGGAGGGGAGCGTGGGCGGGACACGATGACGCTCCTCCGCCGATCCATCGTTCGCAGCAAGCCCGACGCAAGCGCAAGCTCCACCATGCGCCCTGCTTCACTCCTCCTACCCCGGTCCACTCCAATAACGGACATGCTCCTCGGATTGCAATCTACGGGCCACCCTCTCCTCTATTGATAACGCGACGACTCCTATTCTTCCACCGCGCCGTAATGCTCTCCTAGCACCGCCCGAGCCATTGCGACACCCGGCCACGACACCCGCACCCACCGCCAGCACGACGGCTACACGGCACCACCGAGCCCGCGGCCCAACCGGGCAGCCACCTGTGAACTCATGGCCAGCTCCTTCGAGAAGAGTGTCAAGGGCGGCACCAAGATCAAGGTAGCTATGCGCCCTCGCTCCTTCCGGCTGCTCCCCATGCGCCATCACGCTGGACTAACACACGATACAGCTCGCAGCGCCCAAATCCAAGTATGTCGAGCACATCCTCGTCGCGACGCATGCCGGCGAGGCAGGTGTTGCTGAGATCTTCCGCGCCCTCACGAATCGACTACGCGACTCGACATGGACCATCGTATTCAAGAGCTTAATCATCGTACATCTCATGATAAGAGAGGGCGAGCCCGAGGTCACGCTCAAATACCTGGCGCAGAACCCACACAGAAAGCTGGCCATCAACCATTTTACAGAGGGTACGTCTTGAGATTCACTTCCGGGCCGCCCAGCCAGGGTGATGTGGCTACAACACGGGCACGAATTGGGCAGCAACCGCGTCGCCCAATGCCCTGTATCTTGAGACGGATGGCATTTGGACTGCAACAGAAGGCATACACCAGGCGCTAACATTGCGTGCAATAGTACAGACCCAGGGCCACAATATCCGGACCTACTCCGAATACCTGCTGCGACGTGCGATCGAATATGGCGCCACCAAAGTCGACTACGTGCGCGGCGGCGAGGGGCGGCTTAAGCGGCTGACTGTGGAAAAAGGCCTTCTTCGTGAAGCCGAGAGTGTGCAGGACCAGATCAGATCACTGCTCAAGTGCCAGCCCTTCGACGACGAACCAGAAAACGAGATTACCATGACAGCGTTCCGATTGCTCACGATGGATTTGCTGGTACTCTTCCATGTTATGAACGAGGGCACTATCAACATACTCGGTGAGTCCAACATGTCTTCTTGGTTTATAGGGTATTGATAAAGTAGAGCACTATTTCGAGCTGTCAAAGCCAGACGCAACGCGCGCGCTGGCAGTATACCGCACATTCGTCAAGCAGACGGAAGCTGTCGTCCAATACCTTAGTCTTGCAAGAGCACACGAACACTCGACAAGACTGGAAATCCCCAAGATCAAGCATGCTCCGACCAGTCTGGCAGCATCCCTGGAAGAATATCTCAACGACAAGGACTTCGAGATCAACCGACGACAGTACATCGCCGAGAAGGAGGCGAAGAAGAACGGGGGCAAGCCTACCAATGGCGCTAGCAAACCCTTGGATACGAAGCCTTCCACGTCGAATGTACCCTCAAACAATACGAGCAGTCAACAGCCAGCAGCAGCCTCGAAACCCTCCTCCAGCGCACCCTTGATTGACCTCTTTGCATCACTCGAGGACAACCAACAGACCATGGCCACGCAGCCCATGATGCAGCAGTATCCCCAACAAACAGGCTTCCAGGTTCCACAACAGACGGGCTTTCCTCAACAGCAGCAACAGCCCTTTGCTATGCAGAATGGCCAGAGCACCAATCCATTCCAGATGCAGCAGCCACAGGCGCCGCAGATGCAGGCACCCCAGCTCCAGTCACAATTCACAGGCGCAGGCTTTGGAGGCTATTCGCCTCAACCGTTCGGTGTACAGAATACCATGCCTTCAATACCACAGAATGGCATGCCTGATTATTCACAACAGCAGCAAATGCAGATTCCCACAATTGCCGAACCCCTACAACCACAACAAACGTCAACAAACCCATTCCGACAGTCAATGCTGCCCAGTGCCGAACCCAAGATGCTCACTAGCCCTACCAGCACTGGATCGCTCAATCGGTCATCCACGAACCCATTCGCAAAACAAAGTACCGGTTTCTCGCAGTCGCAATCACCCATCAATTCACCACCTTACTCAATGTCACCCATCCAAGAATCACCATTTGCTCCTATGCAGCAGCAGCCTTTACAACCGACTCCAACCGGCACAAATCCATTTGCACGGCAGCCCTCGCCGCAGAGTGCCGCATCCCCACAGGGTGGCCTGACAGTGAACGCTACAGGCAGTACCAATCCTTTCCGGCAGAGCGCTTTTGTCAACCAGCAAACGGGCCAGGGTTGGCAGAATACAGGTAGCCAAGGGACGATGGGCGGAATGAGCCTGGATCAGGTACCTACAACGAGTGTCTTTCCACGGCCTGGACAGCAACAGCAGCAAAACTTTCTTGGCTAGGATCAAGATATGATGATGGGTCAATGGTAGACTGCGGCTGTAAGAAGCTCAAAGGGCAATTCATACACTCGTAAACGGGCATTTTCATTTTCATTAGGGATGGCGTTTCTATATCGCTCGCCGCTGTAGTTATTACGTACTCGGTTGGACATAATCATGTTGCACTGCGCAAGGCTAGTTGTGTGCATATCGGTTTCTTGGAAGGGGCGTCGGGAGCCCGCTCAATGTCGGATGTCCAAGGGCAGATTGGGTTGTTTTGTGATAGATCATGTACCGACGATGTTGTCATTTGTTGACGAGCTGGGCTGAGGCCAGGAGGGGAAGCCCCTCGCTAATGCATTATAATTACTGTCGCACACCCCGCGTTGTTCTCCCACTGTACAGAGCGTTGAGCCTTGACTCTGACTCTTGTGTTGACAATTCTACCTGGGAGGTCGCGTCGAGTGGGGCTGAATAGTCGCCGCTGCCTCTTAAGTAAATGCAGGGGTAATACAAGCCACGTGCCGACGCGTTGCCGTAGATTTAGCGCGACGGGCACAACCTGCCTATCAAGCCTCACAGTCGGCACAACACGATCCACAATCTCACTCACTCGACGCCGCTTGATATCTACCACAGATGACCACGGTTTCTGCCATCTCTATCTGGACCCGCCTCCCATGACCTTATTGAAACAGCGCAAATTTGTCGACTGGCGCCGGCAAGCCCGCATCAGCGTTATCAACAATGAAACCTGACGGGTCTCTGGATGCTCCCTTCACTCTGGATGACGACCCGCCTAGTTATGTACCTGCGCCTACAGTGCGACGGCGCCATCGCCAAACGCTTGACCAAGATGGGCTTGAGGAGATCTCCGACGCGCAGCAAGCTGCAGCTGCATGGAAGGAGGTCGCCGCACGGAGACAAACGAAACAAAGACACCGGGAAAACATGAGCAGTGATACGTCTGGAGGAGATAGTATTACGAAGGACAGCAATCTCACAAACAAACCGCGCGACCGGACGTCGTCATCCACGAAGTCTGTTGAGATTGTTGATCTTTCAATCGATGAAGACGAACCGCCAGTATCCGGACAAGCAACACAATCAGGCGCAAGCACTAGAGTAAATCAGCGCCCAATTCAGGGACCACAGGGTTTTGTTCCTTTGCCTACTACGCGTCACGAAGCTGTGCTTCCTGAGCGAGCTAAGCCTGCTGAGTCTCCTAAGAGAACGAGTCGGATATTTTCTCTCCCCATGGAATCTCTAGCAACACCGACGTATAACTCACATCATCCGCCTCAATCATCGGTTGCACGAACAGCGGGGCCATTCACGGGGCTTTCAGAGCCCTCGACAACGCCGACTTATCACTCACACTTTGTGCCCGGCTCATCAGTGGTGCAAGTGACAGAACCAAGTGCGGAGCTTTCCAGGGAATCTTCAGCAAACCCAGTCTATCAACCACGCTACCTGCCTCGATCATCAGTCACACAAGGAGCGGGACCAAGTGCGGAAGTCCCCAAGGTCACGCCGCTGAACCGCTCGCCGTCAGCCGCATCAACACCAAGGACAGAACCGAGTGTTACCACTCAAGCGATACTGATAGATGAGGATATTTCCCCTCAACCTACGTGCCATGCGACATCGGCCCTCGGAGCCTCAACTGACCGTACCGCACCCGTCTTGGACCATACCGTAGACCCATCGGCGCAGCCGGCCAGTGATGTCTCTGAGAACCCACAAGAACAAGCCCCTGCCAGTCGCAGAGATGTAGTTCCCGAGTCGGACGACGCAACACCGGACGATGATAGCGGCAGCATGACTATCCCCTTGCCTAATAAGTCGCCTGAGCCAAACCTTTCAGCCATACAAAGACTGCCGCAGAAACAGAAAGCCATCAAGTCAGTGAGACGAAGAGATGATGTGACCTCGGGTCCTCCACAGCTGCCTGTCAGACCACCGCGTCAGTTTGCGGCTGATCACCCGGACATAGCAAAACTATTTTACAAGCCTCTCGACCTGGGCTCGAGTAAGTCGAGGTCCGGGTCGCCTGTGGTAACACGTCGTAGCCAAAGCAAAACTCCAACGATAGATACTAGTATCATTGCTGATAGCGCGCCTGCGCAGACGGAGGAAGAATCCGTCAGGGATGCCAGTCCTGTGGAACGCAGCACAACGCCGACACAATCGCCGCCACCGCCACCTCACGATGAGGCAGGCGAACCTGCACCGGGGCGTGCCATTAGCTCGACACCTTTACTGTCCCGTTCTGCTACCCCTACTGCCCTGCGCCCTGTCGAGGCATCAGCAGAGCCGATCCGGCCCTCTGAGGCGCCATTGCCAGTCCCCGAAATTATGATTCCAGATGTACCAGCTCCGGCAACAATCGTCAGTACTCATCCAACCATCCAACCCGAACACCTTCGGGTGCCTGTCGAGAACGATGGTGGTAGGACAAGCAAGAAGCTCTCACTGCAAGCGGATGTGCTCGTCACTACACGCTCAGCTGTAGAAGCGTGTTTGAAACGTCATGTGGCAGAACGACATGAATTACATGCATACCTGGTGGAGACGAAGATGCGGAATCAGAGAACATTTCAAGAACAAGACCTACGCGCCTGGTCCCGTAAGCAGAAGCGTCCACAACAGCCCATCCTACCCGAAAAGTACATCCAGAAGACTTCCCCCTTTGAGAACATGCGTGCTATACAAGTGCCGTTCGACAGGGCCAACGCCAAGCGCCTCGTGGATATGAGTCAGGAAACATTCATCAAGGCCAAACCCAAGGACACAGTGGTCAAGTCAAGCCTAGCCGTACCCACTACAAAGTACAAGAGCGATGCGCCAAAGATTCCTCCTTTCAAAGAGTATGTCAGTCTGAGGAACAACGTTCTTAAAGACAATGAGTCAAAATTACTCGCAACACCCTATTTCCAGGACGAAGACTATCGTGGTCGCGAGGTTCTGCTGGATACGCTTCCTTACATGTACGAGATGACGCATGACGAGAAGGGGCCGCTAGACTTCCGCAAGGAACAGTGCCGGTTCTACGATAAAGCCATCGAAGCATTCCTGTCTGAGATAGGCATCACGTGGAACGATATCCTGTTTTGGTTACTAGCCCCGGATCAAGACATTATACGAATCAACGACTCTTTGAATGGAAGCAAGCAGTTTGAAGCACAGCTCCTCGAAAGATCACGATATCACATTGAGGAGTTTGAGAGAGACGGTGAGCCGAAGAAGGCTATTCTGTTTGACAGGAACAACAAAAAGTGGGAAGAGTTTGTCGCACAGCTTGAAGAGCCGATCCCGAGTGCTCTGAGACTTGCGGCAACAGCTTCTGCAGCGGTATTCAAAGAATGTGAATTCAGCATCTGGTACTTAGCTCAACAGTCCAAAGCTGTACAGAGTCTCATACAGAAGAAGTCTGCACATCAGCAGTCTTCCAAGCACTCAACGTACAAAAAGATCATGTGCAGAGTGTGCCATCAGTAAGTACCAACACGTGGATTTTGATGACGAAATCCTAACATTCTTTACAGACACGATTGCCTTCTTCATGGCGAGATCAGACAAGTACCCGAGGATTCCTGGAAGACGGACTCGGAAGACGAAGAACGCGCTACACAGGCGACTGATGATACCAGTCGTCGAGGCTCCAACAACAAAACTCCGCGCCGTGTGTCGAACTTTAGCAGAGACGACACCGACGATGAGAACGAACCCGGCGACCCCTTGCCCGCACATTTTGACTCCGACTCCGACATTGAGAAGGTCATAAACTATAAGCTTCCTGCAAACCCAAGCGCTTTCGAGTCTTGTTCAGAGACGGAGATGATTACTCCCAAAGGTGCAAAACCGCCACCTGGTAAGTTTAATAGCACTTGGTGGCTGAACCAGGATACAACGCAACATTGGGAGAAGAGGAAGCCTTTTTTCCCATGCAAGCACGAAGGCAGCTGCGAGAACGCGAAATGCCGGTGCTTCAGAGAAGGCATCAATTGTGAGAAAACATGCAAGTGCTCTCACTCTTGCAATCGACGTTATCCTGGTTGCAGTTGTGCAACAGCGTTAGGGAAGCGCGTGTGTCTTACACAGGCATGTCTCTGCGTCAAATTCAACCGAGAGTGCGATGCAGACCTTTGTGGCTCTTGCGGAGCATCTGAAGTCCTTGACCCAGTGAATCGTTATAACGATGAAGTGGTTCAACGCACCTGCTGTAATGTTGCGATACAGCGGGGTGTTCCTCGGAAAACATTGCTCGGTCATTCGGAAGTACATGGCTTTGGACTCTATATGGGCGAGGACATCAAGAGTGGCGAGTATATTGGTGAATATACTGGCGAGGCCATCTCGGTCAAAGAAGGCGATCGCCGAGTGACGATATACGACTACCAGAAGACGATGTATCTGTTTCGTCTAAACTCGAGTGAGTTTCTTTATCATTCTTGCGCGAATCAGATTGCTAACACCAACATGTAGAGCAAGAAGTTGATGCGACATACATGGGTAATAAACTACGCTTCATCAACAATGCCGACGACAAGTACACGAACTGCGGCCCCAAGAACTTGCTGTGCAACACAGTCTTTCGCATCGCGCTCTTCGCCACCAGAGACATCAAGGCAGGCACCGAACTGTTCTTCAACTACAACTATCCCAAGGAGAAAACAGAGCAATTCAAACAGCCTAATGCCAAGATCGTGGCGGTCAAACAGACCAAGCAAAAGACGAAGAAAAGGGAATCACTCACCAGTCTGAGCCAACCCATCGAGGACCGCTCACGTATCCTTGCCGCCACAGCAAAAGCCAGAGAGGCAAAAGCAGCGAAGCGGAAAGAGGCCATGCTGCAAGAGGGCGCCGTGGAGCCGGCCACAAGAAGGCGCTCTGGAACACTTCAGGCACGAAAGGCAGCTACGAGCAAACCCGGACGCAAGGCAGTGCGAAAGTCCAAGCGCGGAGGGCTCAATAGGAACGAGTCCACAGGTTCAGATACGGGCATGGATGTAGAGGCAAGCGACCCCGAAATCCCCGAAATCCCCCCTGTCATTGAGTCGCAGAGCACTCAGACTAGTCTGTACGTCCAGGACACGGAGGCGGAAGACGACGAGTTCATCTTGCCGGATACCCAGGAAGACGAAGAACAGGATGTGGCTGAGCCGGCCTCTGAGGACGATGAACCGCCCGGTCGATCTACGAGGTCTCGTCGTGGGCCTGGTCGACCACGTAGGAGGGGGTCGGATGTGGCGCCGGTGGTTGCGGTCAAGCAGGCGGTTAAGCAGGCGGTCAAGCAGAAGAAGTCGAAGATGGGTGGTGCACGACCAGGTGCTGGCAGGAAGAGAAAACGACCCGTTATTGCTAACAGCGATGATGAGTGAGACCTCTACGCCAGTAGCTGGGATTGCACATTGGTAGAAGGATGAGTGGAATGTCTGTTTGGTGTTCATTTTTGTGTTTAATACCCCATTCTACATTGCTCCAAGCAAAACATTACCACAGAAGACTTGTGCGTGCCTGTGAATTTGACAATCCCAATGCGCAAGACGTGCTGGCACCCTCAACGATGGAAGTTGTATAACCTACTTAGCCACCCTCGCCACTGCGCAAGCAGCTTCGACGCAAACTTCCAGCATCACAACAGACTCGTGCATCCCCGCAACACCAAAGCCACCCCCTCTTCCACCCCGTACCAAACCGCTGCCCTAATCTAGAAAAGCTGCCAGCCCACCCAACGGCCGCACCAATCTCCGGGACGCGACCCGCGCAAAAGCTGCAAACCAGTACCGGGCGGCATGCTTACCCCATCTAGTGTGCAACCACACCCAGCGATCTGCAACAGCGGGGAAAAGCAAACGACATTCGTTCGAGACCGAGACTATCGAATCGAACGCTTAGGTAGCGGGAAGAGGGGGAATAAGCACCGGAGACTGGAGGTGTCATCCAGACGTGGGATTGACGCACAGGCGTGATAGGTAAGTAAGCTCAGCGGGAACAAGCAAAACGTTGGTTTTGATCAGCATTTCTACGATGGACATGTATGTGCCTGCACAACTGTTGAGATTGCGATTGCACTGTGCGCAACTCCTCCTATCTATGGTAATTTGGCATTCAGCATACTCGGTTTACCAAACGCCCCATGCTGTGCGTGCGCCTCTTCCGGTGCGGATCGCTGCACCCACGCACGAGATGTGCTACAGGTATGTCTGTAGACAGCCGATGCGTTTAAGGTTTAGAGTGGGGCGGGGAAGGCCTAGCTAGTGGTTGAGATTGGGGATATGCGACAGGAACGCGTGGAAACGGCGAGATGTCATGGGTGAGATGGATCTTGTAAGACTTGGTATGCAGCGGAGATGCTGTGATTGGAAACGTGTGTGTGTGTGTGTGTGTGTGGTGTCGCACCTGATGAAGCCCGGTGCGAAGAAGAGGCGGGTAAAGACATAAATGAACATCACGTGGAAGCTCCACCATCCATCTTCAGGGCTGGGCAATGTCTTGAACCTGATACATCGCAAGACGCGTCTTCACACACAGCGCCCAGCCCATGAATCCCCATCCACAAGTAGCGCTACGCACATACATCTCCGTCGCTGAACGGAAAGAACAATACCTACGTCAACAAAACGTCTTTCTTTTTTGTTACCCACCCCCCTTAGCTCCGATGCGCATCTGAAGCCGAACATGGGAAGCGACGAAAATACCCGAGACACAGACGCCAAGCTGGCACCAGAAAGGGAACGCACCTGCTACATTTAGCCTCTTTGCTCCGCAACCGGTGCTCCACCCACTCGTTGCTGCACTAGCCACACGCTCGGCCAACCTTCGCGCCCACGCCGCGGATTCAAGCTGTGGTGTGCGTGGTGTGTAGTTCGGCGCGCGTTCTTCTGCTGCGTGAGACGCATAATAGAAAGAAGATGAACACTCCTGTCCATGTGGAAGAAGCAAGACGGCGGAACAAAAGCCCACGGAGACGTTCATCTCCGGCGTCGCGCATGCCGCAACGAGGTCTGGATCCACCCCGTGTGATTGGATGCTGATGTCATTGTACGCGGCTGGAGCGTGCACCCACTTTCACATGTCAGACGACGCTTCACGCATCAGCAGGACCCAGGTAGGTGCTGCAACACGGACAACGGCCCCACTGTCCAACTGGCGCAAATGATGGCGCGCTTCACTTGCCCTTCAGCTGGCCTGCGTAACAAAAGCTTGGAGCAAACGTGGGTAGTAGCAAGTCATTCTGCCAAACCTCACCTTGCTTGTCTGTCCGTCCTCCTGAGGCGTGTCTAGACTCGCTCGTCACTTTTTGTCTGAATTGTTCCGCGGAATAATTAACTGCAGTAACCAAGGGGGTTTGTGTTGTTGGAACTGGGTATTCTTTCTTGCCGGTATCCGCAGTGTTGCATGCAGCTGGATCTGTTCATCATCCATTCTCAGCCTTACTCCTCATTTCTCACCTGACGTCTTCCCGACTCCGCTTTCCACCACCCACCCACCAACCAACCAACCATCTGGGCACGCTGCCGGCACATCACCACATCCACTTTCAACCACACGTCTCGGTCTTTCTCGACGCACTTCACATCTCCCCGGCCAAATGGATTGCATAGAGGCCATGGGTGCGCGACGTGCCATGTCGCTCATGTTCACCGTGCCGGAGCGCTTCGTCGGCTTCGCGCACATGGACCAGAAGACTTTCTTCGAACTCTCGGACTGGATCCTCGCAAACGTCGCATCAACGATTACTACCGACATAAGTGTGGAAGAGTCGCTGTTCATATTCTTGGATATCGTGGCACAGGGGAACAGCTTCAGTACCGTGGCGTATGGATGGGATCATGACCTAGAGCTTACTCAAGGGTACGTTGACGAGCGAAAACTGTTTGCGTTGTATCGAGATAGAGACTGACTGTCGCGCGTAGCATATTCCTCAATGTCCTCAACGCCCTCACGGTCCTGCGCGAAAGCAGGGAGATTGCCGATTCATGCCCGCCCTTCACACAAACCCGTAAGCGATGGGAAGTCGCTCGGAGATGGAACCAGAAGCGGGCGCGTATGGGCACCGGCGGTGTCGTCCGCATCGGCTACGACGAAATGTTGCGCGACGGCCTCGAGGTTGACCAAGAGTGTCTGAAAGAGGCGCTGATGGCCATGAACAACTTCATCCACGAGAACGCCGACCACGACGAATCATGATGGCGCACAAAATTGGTAGTTTCCTGCATTTGTTCCGGTGTTGGTTTGGCGTTTGGGTAACGACTTGGTAACGCATTGCATCGGTTGGGAGGGTTGAGCTTGGTGTTGACAGTCTTCTTTCGTTCTCGTTTCGTATGTACATATGTACGCTCTTTTGCAGGTCGAATTCGATCTCGACTGGCCGTTCGGTGCCGCTCAATTCGCCTTCCTCAGATATGTCGTGTGTCGTGACGTCTTTGATATCGCCCGATCAACCCAAGGCTACGGCTTCCACCGTGCCCTTGCCCAGCACACTCAGTCTCCCCCTCTTGATTCCCAATGCGTCTTCAATCCTCGCATCGGGCTCTCCCTTGCTTCGTCTCATCATCGCCAACGTTATGACACCAGCATCCACATACGTTCTTCCCTGGAACCCTCTCCTACCAACGTCTCGCAACTCATCTTCCGCCTGGTCTGCTATCCGTTGTCTCGCCTCCAGTACCCGTAGTACGGGGTTATTGCGCGGGTCGGGGAACGCAGACTGCGGTGGCGATTGCATCATCGTATCGGAGGGAAGATTCGGCGAGGTATTGCGGCGAGGGTCGAATTGCGAGGCAGACGAAGGCGAGAAATGAGGGTTCGGTTGAACAGCACCCAGACTGCTGAGGCGAGATGCAAAGGCAGGGTCGCGGGCATCTTGTAAAACAGCTAAACTAAGAATCAGTGTCGTGTCCCCATGTGCTGACAGCGTGTAAATACATACCCTCGGTCTTTTCTCCAGAAGCCTGCACCTCGGGACGAACAGTCGGTCCCTTTACAGGATCCTGTGCGGGTGCGGAAGGCGCGGGAGCCCGTGTTGTAGTATTCGTAGGGGCTCTGGTAGGGTATTTACGAGCAGCAGAGCCCGCCGCCTTTGCGCCTTTGGAAGCCGAAGAGCCCATTATCTCTGTTGGCAATACGTCGAGTGTGGGGTAGTTGCAGAATGTTGAGATGCGTGGTGATAACGGGGGGGCAGATAAGATGCACGTATGGGACTTTGTGAAGCTTGGACCACTCTGATGATGTAGTGGAGATCTCCCGCGTCATGAAAAGGGTTTACTACTTTGGGCGATGCTTGCGAAGGCTACAACGAATCGTAATTTTGTTTTCAAACACATCGTGACATGCTTAATCTACCAAGGGCTATTCTGGGCTATAGGAGCTTTTCGTCGGCACGGTAGTGTCCTGCGACCAGGAATGCCAACTCCAACGCCTGCTTCTCGTTCAACCTGGGATCGCAGTATGTGGTATAGTTCAGGCTTAGATCCTCGTCCACAAGTCCTTCACTTCCGCCAGTGCATTCCGTAACTGCATCGCCGGTGAGTTCCAGATGCATGCCACCGAGGAAGGACCCGTGCTGCTTGTGAATCTTGAGCGCCGATGAGAGCTCAGAGAAGATGCTGTTGAAAGAGCGGGTCTTGATGCCAGTAGGCGTGCTGCGCGTGTTGCTATCGACACGTTAGTGGATGATAGATTGCATATCAAGACGACTTACCCGTGCATGGGATCGCACTGCCACACTACAACGTGTCCGCTGCTCTTGACAGCTTCAATGTGCGCTCCAAGCATCGACTCAACCTTGTCCGCACCATATCGCGTGATCAATGTAATCTTGCCAATCTCCTTGTTCGGGTTGACGATGTCGAGTAGCTCTACCAGTTCGTCGTTCTTCATGGAAGGACCAACCTTGATACCAATAGGGTTCTCAATACCGCGGAAGTACTCAACGTGGCCTCCGTCGATTTGACGAGTTCGGTCTCCGATCCAGATGAAATGAGCAGAGGTATTGTACCAGCCCCTGCCGTCATTTGAGGCCTGGGAAGGCTTGTAGCCTGAAGGGTGCTTGAGTCTCCTTGTCAAGCTCTGCTCGTACTCCAGAACGAGACCTTCGTGGCTGGTGAACAGGTCTACAGTCTGCAGCTGACCTGATGTGTCCGCCCCAATAGTCTTCATGAAGCGCAACGAGTCAGAGATGCTGTGGACGATTTTCGAGTACTTGGTTTGTAGTTCCTCGTCCCGAACGTGACCCAATTCCCAGTCCAGAGGATTGTGCAGATCAGCAATACCACTTGCTAGCTGTCCACGGATGTAGTTCAGTGTCGTCGCCGAATGGAAGTAGGCACTGACCAGCCTCTCAGGGTCAACTCTTCGAGCGTCAGGATCGTATCCATTGAGGATATCGCCACGGAAGCTAGGGACTTCCTTGCCGTTCAGCATCTCTGTCGGGCTTGATCTGGGCTTAGCATACTGTCCGGCTATGCGGCCAATGCGAATGACGGGCTTGTTTGAACCCCAAATCAAAACCAAACTCATTTGCAGCAGAAGCTTGATCTTTGCATCGATCGGGTTGTCCGCGCAGTAAGAGAACAATTCGGCGCAGTCACCTCCTTGCAACAGGAACGACTTTCCAAGTGCAGCATCGCGGAGACTGGCCTTGAGTCGCGCGATCTCTGTTGGTGTAACGATTGGCGGTAGACTCGATAGCTTGGTCAGCGCAGAGGATACTGCTGCTTGATCTTCATATGTGACGACTTGCTTGATGGGCTTTGACCTCCAGGCTGTAATCGTTAGTACAGCAGCTTGAGCGTCCATGGTCCCTCTTACAAGCTGGCGACCATTCTTGAGAGCCGGCATCTGTCTCAGCTTCTTGCTTGGGCCTTTCCGGCAGTTGTGTAGAGTTTGCGTTCATCGTCGACGAAGCTGGTTGCGATTGTGTTTGGCCACTGGTTGCAGCCATGAATTGGGAAACGTAGTCGGTTAATTTTGCGTGCCCTTCGTTGTCCATAGTGTGTTCTCTTTCAGTTGATGTACCCAGGTACACTTCTTCACTAGTTCAGAGATGTCTGGTTGCGACACGGAAGATCACCTTTGAGTCACTGGTTAATATGGCAGTTCGGCAAGGGTTCGCCTGCAAGGAGACGTGAGCAAAGGACGCAAACACATGACTCAAGGTACAAAATCTGCAACGAAAAGCGGACTGCGTGCGCAATACTTCATGACGTAACACAGCAAACTTACCCTGAATATGCTAATAGGTGTGCAGCGAGTATGTCGCCGCTTCTGCGTTGGTATTCGTGTGTAAGATCTATGTTCCTGCCTGATGCGAGGTTTTGTGCCAGAATGTAAGTTTGAAAGCGTGCATAACTCGAGAAATTCAACCAATTGCGGCCACTCTCTTTTCCCATTGGCCACATTTCTTCAATCCTTAGCTACCCCACAACTCTCAGCTCTCCAATCCACTGTCGTCATTGTCTCTGCATCTTCCATCGTTTGTACACGCTCTCTATATCCCCTCTGCGCTCTGTCAGCTTTCAAAGCCACATCAATTTACTCGCGACAACCACAATGGCCGAGCCCCAGCCCTCCACCGTCCAAGAAGGCGCCGCCGACCCGCACGCACCCACAGGCACAGCCGATGACCGCAAAGCCGCCGCCGCCCTCTCCACCCTCGACGCGCCCCAAGAAGGCGAGAATGGGGCAAAGAAAGAAGTGGATGGCAAGGCACTAGACAAGGCGATGAAGGGGCTGAATGTGAAGGACAAGAAGGAAGGCGAGAAGAAGAATGTCAAGATCGAGGCAGCCGATGTCAACCTGCTGGTACGTTCACCTTGGAATAGCTGCGCAAAGAGAGGGACGCGCAGACATGTTGGAATCGTTGGGCATAGACTGACAGTTGGACGAACAGGTCTCCGAACTTGAACTTACGAAGCCAAAAGCTACGGAGCTGTTGCGCGCGCATGATGGTAATGCGGTGAAAGCTATGACGGCGTTTGTCATGACAGCACCCTGAGCGACTGTATGGAAAGGACGATCATGCAAACACACAGAGCCGTCGCTAGTGTTTGAGGCTGCACATACTGAGGCGTCGAAGGGGGTGCGAGTATGGGACGAAATCCAGGCAGGCACTCGCATCTTCCGGGCTCAGGCCATCTGCTTGGACGATGTACAGCAACAGCCAACCTGCCCCCTGCCGCAACACAACTGGGCAATGCTAGATTGACGACTTTGGGAATAAGCGTTCAAGAACAGAAATAAATGGGATTATCACCGACAAGGCTCCCGTAGCATGAAAGACAAGACGCTCACAAGAAGGTTTCGTGTTTGAAGACAAAAGATATCATTAGTTCTACTATGTTCTAGACCTCCTCTACAAAGACAGATTCTCCTTAGCGATGATACGCCAGAAATCCACCACAAACTCTCCGCCCTCTTGCAACAGAGGAGCAAACGCTTCGTGCTTGCCAATGGTCGACACTTCACAGGCTATGTACTCCACCACCAGCTTTCTGAGATCTTCGATGGTCCCATCAGGCTTCCTATCTTCCCCATTATCATATGCATATCTGGCCAGTTCAACCACATCGCCTACTCGTCGATCGTAGAGCTTGAACTTGAGGAGGGTTTGGTGGAGCTTGTGTAGAGCTAGGCGCTTGAGAGGGTCGATGAGACGCATACAGGCGAAGGTATAGAGACGTGCGTGCGCCAAGAAGACAGGCGTGAAATCTTGTTCTGGCGCGGAATTCTCTGTGGGTAGGAAGCGGTCGAGCATTGCCGTTTTTGGTTCGCAGCATGTGAGATATGCGCGCCCGTGGAAGTTCTGGCGCAGACCATGTGTCGCTCGGTTCGAATTTACGCTTGCTTCTTTCAGCGCTCTGGCCTTTTTTGCTTGAGACTTGCTTAACCCCCTATAGGGATCCGAGATCATCTCCTCGAATGCTACTGCTACTGGGTCCGGTTCTGGTTCTGGTTCTGGTTCTGGTTCTGGTTCTGATGCTAGTGGAACGTCCCAGTCAACTGGCGGTGGTGATGGAACCTCGCCATTCTTTACAGTCTTCTGATCCAGTGTCCAAGATGGTGCAGCGTAATCGTAACGATAAGAGTACTCAACGAATCGAGCAAAGTCATCTGGTTCCATGTCCGGATACTCTACAGACCCTTCCTGCGACTGTGACATGCCATTGTTCACAAGAGCATGAAAATGCCATGAGGTCGCGGCGATCGCTTTAGAGTGCACAACAAACGCTTTCTTCTCTTTGCCGATGTAGAAGGTGAACAGCTTCGATTGGACGAGACTGTACATCGTCAGTTATAGCGTCAAGTGACCGGCCTGGGATGCTCACTCCTCAAAGGAACATGACGCTGATGGGTCACCCATTTTCGCAAGCTCTGGATCACTTTGTAGAGCTTAGATACATCTCGGAGGCATGAGGTTATACACCTTCGAGAAATTACGCGCCCTCAATGCGGGGTCGTACAGTGCATACTCATGCATGTAGTATGCGCCTGGTGTAGTACAAGATGATTTACCTGCCTGTGGCGTCCAAACACGTCTTCTGAACATGCAGCTTTCTGCACTGTGCCGCAAACGTCAAACAGATACCCAAGTACCGTCACACACGAAAAGAGAACAGGATCGTGCTTTCGGTCAAGTACAAGATACCATGATGATCGTGTCTGAGCAAAAGTGTAATATGAACATCACTTTACGTTGTCATTGCCCTAGAGGTCGCGAAGCGCGAGTATGCTTGAAAGGGCGCTTCGACAAACGCGCCATACCTCCTGCCGCTGTAAGAGTTGGAAAAAGCCGCATTATCTTACAGGCACCCAGGAAGCGCACATAAGGATAGTGAGCATGAGCAGCGCGTGTAGGGCTAGCACTTGACGGGCGATTACTGCAAACCTACAAGCGTAAGCGAGCTCTGGGGCAACCGCAACCGCGTCCCGTCCGTTGCTTTTCCCATCTCAAAACAGGGTTCCACCACGCTGCGTCATCCGCGATCTTAGCAAGGTGATCGCGCGGGACGTTGCACATGGGGTTCCATGCTCGCCGCCGACGTTCTGGACGAATCGCGCGCTGCAGACCGCGATGATGTGCACCACGTACGTCACCGATCCGTGAATATGGTAGACGCTCCATACCTCACTACTCGTTGTTGAAGTCAACGTCCGGCAGCCAGACACACTAACGGCCACCTACCAACTATCCATCTATCCTGTTTCTCTGCTTGCGCTACTAGCGCATACAAGCCGTCAACACGGCGCCTCAAGTCCCCTCTCGTCGCGCTCTCGCTGGCATTGCGCTCATCTCTGTATTGTCGGCCGTCGAGAAGCAGCGCAAGAAGAAAGTGAAAGGCAAAGAAGACCAGCACGATTTCAATACGACCGAGGATATGTCTGGTGAACTACAGACGATACCTGCGCGCCATGGCGTTGCAACTTTTGTGCCCAGAGGCAGAACGATCAAGGTCATTAACACATACGGGAAGCAGGTAGTCAGTATGTGGGCGTTTAGTCTGGGACCTCCGCCTGACGATGGAGACGGCGAGGAGGGTGAAGGAAAGGACCTCGACGACGAACAACTCAAGAAGGAAGCAGAGCAGATGAAGAATGCTGTCGAGGAAGAGGGAGAGAAAGCTACAGAGGCGACAAAAGGAGAAGATGACGAGGCGAAGGAGCCGAAGAAGGAGGGAGGCGGTAACAACAATGGAAAAGAAACGCAATCTACAGAAGTAAAGGCCGACGACTCAAAGCAAGAAGCTGCCGAGGACCCTCCCGAGCAAGCTCCTGATACACCCGACAACGAGAAGACGACCGAAAGCACAGATTCATCGTCAAAGCAACCCAACAAGCGCACATGGGCGTCATACCTCCCTTCTATCCCGTACCGCAGCAAAGGTGGAGCAAGCAAGCAGGAAGCAGAGCAAAAGCCTAGTCCCGAGCAGGAGAAGAAGCAGAATGAGGAGAATACCAAGAAGTGGTCTTCGTACTTGCCGACTGGAAAGAGCTTCTCTAGCTACGTACCGAATGTTGAAGTGCCAGACTCGAAATCCGTCGTGAGCGCGTTCAAGTCGAGCCATAACCGCGATCCAAACAAGAGCTATGCGGAGCAATTGTACGACTTCTCGAAGACACCTGTAGGGGCTGGAACTATTGCCGGTAAGTCGACGAGCATAAGGCTACGTTTTAAGAATCCGTACTAACACCGTGTAGCTGCAACTGGATCAGGGTACGCATCCTCAGCTTACGCTGTATACTCCGCCTACGCTTCGACGAATCCATCGAACTCCGAGCAACCTCCCATGGAGTACCTCTCTCTTCCCCACACGCGCGCTGCCTCGCATAAACTCGTACCCGAAGTCGATGACGAGCTCTTGACCAACTTGCGCAATCCGATCGTTACCCTCGTCGAAGACACCTCGCCGGGTGCACACGATACACTGACGGCGGCGTGCGATGCGAACCAATACGCTGCTCTCGGTGTTGATAAGCCAGCGGAGCATGGTAGCTGTGCGGAGAACCTCGTCCTCGCACTCAAGGAGATCAACGAAACGGCAGGACTGAAAGGCCCAAAAGCAGTTGGCGCAGACATTTCCGTCAACATCGCACCGACACCTCTTCATCTCTTCATGAATGCGCCTCTGCAATCTGAAGGCACATCCCACAGCGATGGCGCAGGCACAAAGGGTGTGACACTCAGCGTCGATGAGCCCAAGGGCAAGAAACGCTGCCACGTCCGCTTCCGCGCCGAGCGAGACGTAGTCATAGTGTTCAGCGCCTGCCCCATGGACGTGGGCAAGCAAAACGGCGGACGCTGCATGGCAGCCAACTTCATGGTCGAAGACGTCCAAGAAGGCGAAGACCTCGCCTCATCCGTCGCATCTGGCAAAGCGAAGAAAGCACCAAAGAAGCTGAACCAGAAGGACAAGGCAGATGACACGAAACCAAAGACTAAAGAAGCGCAACAACCTAAGAAGGACGACACGGCGGAGAAGAAGGAAGCACCAAAGAAGCCAGAGTTGAAGAAAACGGAGTCGACTAAACAGGCACCTAAGAAAGATGGTGATGCGGCGGATAAGAAGAACGCTCCTGTGCAGAAGGATGAGAAGCCAGATGGTTCCACGACATCTGAGGAGCCGAAGGCGAAGAAGAAGCCTAAGAAGCTTCAGGTGCGTAGCCAGGGGGCGTAGACACCAACACAGTCCTCATGAAACTGGCTGCGATTAGGCGCAGGTCGTAGTTATTGCCGTGGTTCAATTTGCCGGTTTGAGCATTGAAATTAGGATTTTGTACAACAGCTCTGGGTACTTCTGCCATGATTCATGTAAACAAGTAATGTCTATGATACTTCTTGACTTTGGCGTGTACGTGTGGGTCTGCCAGTGTTGTGGTGAAGTTTTGCGTCATTGGAATTGAAAGGAAGTACATCCAACATGGGAGCAGGGAGAATGAATGATCAAATTGCGCCATAGCGAGCTGAAGGAAGTCTTGAGGAAAGAAGATGAATTTGGGATACCAAGAAAACACATCAGCGAGGGTATGTATGCTACATCCACCGATTTCCCACTCATGCACTCACACACGCACCCCCGCGCATCAATCCATCAACAAGCTCTCATACCATCTCCCTTCCTCCGTAACACAACACTTTCTCAAGCTCAAGCTCAAGCCGTAGCCTCAGCCCCCCTCCCCCTAACATAAACCGTCTCCATCCCCCTCGGCACAGCCGTAGGCTGCGCAACAGGCCCCCTCTCCCCCCACGAGATATACGTCGGCGGCTCAGGCTTCGGCCACGAGATACTCTGCCAAGGGAACTCCAGCCCAATACTGTTCTGCGGCGCTGCCACTGCTTCTCGCTCTGCTACAGCGGGGCCAGGGGCGGCAGTAGGTTCCGGTGCAGCGTCAGCAGCGCGTTTCCTTTCTTTGCCCCAGATCACGGTGTAGGTTGGGGGGTTGAGGCCGACGCTGTTGGGTTGCGTGGGCGCGGGGTTAGCGGGGATTTCTACGGGGCCGTCGGAGGGGAAGTCGTCGTCTTCGTTGTCCGCGGGGAGGTCAGGTGGAGATGTGGGTAAGGCATCATCGTCTTCTTGGCGCTTTTTGCCCCAGATTACGGTTACGGTGGGCGGGTTCAGACCGATGCTGTTTGCTTGGGTTGGTTGGGAGGGAGGCGGAAAGTCATCTTCTGGGTACTCTGGGTCTTCTGGGAAGGGCTCCTCGGGAAATGGCTCCTCCGGGAAGGGTTCTTCTGGGTCGGAGGGGTAGGGCTCTTCTTCGGAGGGAGGGTCTGTTGGTTCGGGCTCGTCGTAGTCCCAGGTTACGCTGTAGTTGGGTGGACCTACGGTGATGTCTGCTGAACGTGTGGAGGTGGAAGTAGAGGTCGGAAGAGGGGTTGCGGAAGAGGGAGGAGGGCTGGGCGTCGGAGTTGGAGTGGGCTTTGGAGTGACAGATGGTGTTGGTGTTGGTGTAGGCGTAGGCTTGGGTGTATATGTAGGCTTAGGCGTTGTTGTAGCTGTTGAAGAAGACTTGGATGATGATTTGGAGGTAGACTTCGACGTGCTCTTTGAAGTGCTCTTCTTCGTGGTAGTCTTTGTCATCGTAATCTTACTTGTCTTAGATTTCTTAGTAGTCGTAGAAGTTGGCTTTGCGTTTCTCTTATTCAAATCCCAGCTCACGCTGAACTTCGGCGGAGAGAGGCTGATGATAGCGCTCTTGGTGGTTGAGGGGACTGGAGCTGGGGAAGGTGTTGGCTTAGCAGTTGTCGACGGCTTTGGTGTCGAAGTTGGCTTCTTCGTAGACGTCATAGTGGACTTTGCAGTGGACTTCATCGTCGTTGGCTTCGGTGGCCATGGGTTCCATGGAGGGTAGCCGGGTTTCTTGGTAGATGAAATCTTACTGAATGAAGCAGATTTGGTAGAAGAAGACGCTGGAGGTTTGTAACTAGTGACGGAAGCGGAGCTAGTCATACTGGAGTTCGACCAGATAGGGGGAAGAGATACGATGGAGGAGTACTTCGAAGTTGGCTTTGGCGTTGGCGTTGGCGTTGGTTCCGGTGTAGGTGTCGGTTCTGGCGTAGGCGTTGAGGATGCGCCCGGACCATCTCCGTCCCAGGTAATACTGTAAGATGGTTTCCCGATGCTAAATTGATCGCTAGGCTTAGGTGGGGGGTACCCAGGCTCCTCAGGCTCTTCCGGTTCAGGAGTTGGCTCGGGCCCATCAGTGGCCCAGCTCACCCAGAAGGATGGTTTACCGATGCTAAACTGATCCGTCGGCTTAGAAGGAGGAGGGTAGTCGGGTTCTTGGGGAGCAGGTGTGGGTGCAGGCCCGCTCGTCTCCCAGCTGATCCAGCCGGACGGTGTACCAATACTGAATTGATCAGTA